TTTTGTTCAAGGCTAGCACTTTACCACTTGAGCCACAACACCACTTGTGGCTTTTTCTGTTTATGTGGTACTGAGCAATCAAAACCAGGGCTTCATGCATGCTAGACAAGCACTCTACCACTAAGGCACATTCCCAGCTCCAAGAGTAACATTGAAGTGCAGAAACCTACAAAACACTACTACCTCAGCCAGCTGACCCAGGGGAGTGGTGGCAGTGATGAGTCATGTCTAGAACGTGTGTCCTTGGTATGACACAGTAAGGATAGCACTGTCTCTATGTCTTCCTACCCAAGCCGGGAACAGCCCCTCCCCCCATCCTTTGGAAAAACATCAGACAAACTCTAATGGAGGACAGTCTACAAAACACCTGTCCAGTGCATTAGCAAAAGCAAACAAAGCAAAGCTGGGCACCAGTAATCCTAGCTACTCGGGAGGCTGAGAGCTGAGGCTCCTGCCAATTTGGGCAGGAAAGTCTGTAACATGCTCATCTCCAAGTAACCACCAAAATAAACAAATGAACAAAAACAGAAGTAGAGCTGTGACTTAAGTGGTAGAACACCAGCTTTGAGTGAAAAAGCTAAAGAACAGTACCCTGATCCTGAGTTCAAGTCCTAATGTCAGTATACAAATGCACCAGCGCTCTCTCTCTCTCTCTCTCACATACACACACACGCGCACACACACACACACACACACACACACACACACGACAAGTCTGAGAAAATAAGAATCCAGAAGAACCCAAGGAACTTTGTGACTAATGGAATGTGCCATTCTATGAGGAATCCTGGAGCAGACCATGGACATTCATTAACCACTACTAACATCTGAGTAAACCGTGTGGCTTAGTTACTAGCTACATACCACTGTTGGCTCCTCAGTTGGGAAAAATGTGCCATCATGAAGCTAGATGTTAACAATAGGAGAAACTGGGTCATGGATATCTGACAACTCTATGGTTTCTTCAAACTTTTCTGTACATCTCATACTATTCTAAGGAGTTGGCAGAGTGGCTCAAGTGGTAGAACACATATTGAGCAAGCATGAAGTCCTAAGTTCAAACCCTAGTACTGCCAAAAAAAAGATATAAATAAAGATAGATAAAGATACAAAACATTATGGAATAATGTTTTGGATAAATATACAAAACATTATGGAAGTGGTGCTGTGGCTCAAAGAGGTAGAGCGCTTGCCTCAAGCTGAAGAGCTGAGGGACAGCGCCCAGGCCCAGAGTTCAAGCCCTATGACTGGATTACAAAAAACAAACAATAGTTGTTGTTCAAGTAATTTTCCTGTTTGTGTGTCAGGCAGTCCCTCTAAACCCAGCTATCTTTGGTTTCTTCTTTTTTGCCAGCACTGAGATCAAATGTTGATTTAGGGGTGTACCCAAGGCCCTGGATCATTTTCAAGTCCAGGAAAAACTGTCATTTAAGCCAAGTTGATCTCTTCCTGGGGCGAGAAGTCAGTAGCTCCATGTCTCCATCCAGAATGTGATGACATCCAGCAGTTCTGTTAGAAAAGGAGGGACAACACATCTCCTGATCTCCCTGTGGGCAGTAGTCCCCGGATTGTATTTATTGGCACCTTTGGGAATTTCATGGAGATAATAACTGCCCAAACTATTCTGCATCTCCTCATCCAAACTCCCATCCTCACCATTCTCAAGATCACCCCTGCACCCCTAAAAGCTTTCTGCAAAGAAGCTTCAGGTGATATACATATTTGGCCATGTTAGCAGTCCAGTGATAGCATGCAGCAAGGGCTTCCTAGATGTGGACGTGTTGCTTTGGGGTGGTTTTGTTTTGAGTTAGTGTCTCTGTGTGTAGCCCTGGCTGGCCTAGACAACTCAGTCATCCATTTGCTTTCCAAATGCTGAGATTACAGGTGTGCACCACTGCACCTGGTTAAAATGTTTTATATTGATGGCTGCCATTTACAGTGTAGTTGGCCTCATGCTGGGGACATAGAAGGGACTGCTGTCTAATTTTCCTGGATGGTTATCATCATTGTAGGAGAAAGAAATAGAAGCTCAACAAGCTTTAGAGTGCCTCCAAGTTACAAGCCGGAAAGGTATACGAAAGAAGCTTCAAATCCAAGTTATCTAAACCCAAAATCCGTGCTCCCAGACACCCTAATGTTGGTTCTCTCCCACCAGGCCCTGGGGCACCTGGGAATCAGCTGTGTGCTCTCTGCACAGGCATTCCATGTCCATTCCTTCATTTACAATTTCCAGGCAACAGCAATCTCCACATCTCTTGTTTTAAAAACTTGATTTGCCCATTTCTCCCTTAGAGGTGCCTTTTGCTACGCCATCAGCCTGAGAGCCTGGACAGGCCACTGGAGCGGAATCCAGGCAGATGTACGCTTATGGCAGGCATCCAATTAGCGGCATTTCAAAGAGCTCCTCCCCCCACCCAGGTCTTTCATAGCCTGTACCACATTGATTGCTGTCTATCCACATACTTCCAACCTATCCTGCCTGCACTTGGCATAATTTGATATCTGCTCACTCCTGCAAAAGCCTTCTCCACAAATGTTTATCCAAAATTATAGTATGTTTAAGAGATTTATCTTCTCTTTTTTTTGCTGAATAGAGGCCTCTGGAAAGGCAGAGGAACCAAGGGCTACCAGGCAGCTTCCAGCAGGAACATTTTAATACATCACTTATTAAAATGACCCTGGAGCCTCAGCAGAGGGCTCCCACACACCTCACTTCCCAGCAGAGGGCAGTTCCGGCTGAGCTGACCACATCCAAGTCCTGCCCCTCCCAACCCTTGATGCAGTTTGTCTATGATGCAGTGGCCAGAGACTAACAAGGCTTCAGAACAACAAAGCAACAAAAGGACCTTTAAAGGCTGAAGGACAATGGCTGCAGCTGGGCCTGAGTCTGAGGTCAGATGACTTGGCATCTCCAACACCAGAGCACAAGTTCTAATCCTGCCTCTGTGACTTAGTAGCTTACAGTCAGAGTAATGATAGTCCTTAGTTCATAGGGTTGTTTGTGAGTCTGGTATCCAGTGATGCTGTATGGTCCTTTCAGTCTCTCTAGGGCCTCAACTTCTTCTCCTACTGGAATGTGAGTTTTTAGGGTCAGAGATGTCACCCCAAAATGACTAGAAAGCACTTAGTAATGACATGATACTTTGATCAGGTGTGGAAATCACCCCTGAATTCAGACACAAACCCTGGCTTCCCAAAGAATCCTCTCCCTCTCTCTCCTCTTCCCCCCCCCCCAGTCCTAGGGCTTGAACTCATGACCTGGGCAGTGGCCCTAAATTTTTGTGCTCAAGGCTCACACTCTACTATTTGAGCCACAGCTCCACGTATGGCTTTTTGGTGGTTCATTAGATAAGAATCTCACAGACATTCCCGCCTAGGCTGGCTTTGAATTGCAATCCTCAGATCTCAGTCCCCCCCACCCCAGTAGCTAGGATTACAGGTATGAGCCATTGACACTTGGTTCCAAAGAATCTTTTCACCTGCTCCTCTTGGCCAGATGGGCATCCAAACAGAAGCTCAGGCTAGCCTCTCTTTACACAGTACCATTTAGCCTTCTAGGGAGGGGAAAGCACAAGGGACTCCTGAGCTCTCAAATACTGGTAGTACCTAGGACCGGGTGGGAGGAGTCAGGTTCCAGATGTGCATCCCATATCATCCCACCATCCCTGATCACGCCTGCTCAATGCCGAGGCCAGCAGAGGCTGCAGGGCCTCCATGATGGGGAAAGAGGGATGAGCCATCACCCCCTCTCCCATGCAAGCCGCTGGGTGCCCCCCACCCCCACCCCCTGCTCCTGGAGATGCTTACTTACCTGATATCTGAGTCACACTCCCTGCTCGTGTCACTGTGAGCTGTGTTGTGACTTCCCAGCTGACAATTTCACAACAAACACATTAAAAACTCCAGGCACCGGGACTTCTGGATGCCTAACAAGCCAGGAGAAAAACCTCACCTCCCAAGTCCTCCCCCCTCCACCAAACACAGATCAGGTGTGTAGAAATCACTCCTGGGTTCTGAAGCAAACCCAGAATTCCCAAATAATCCTTTTCACCTGGCTCCTGCCCCTCTTGGTGGATTGGGGTCCAAACAGGAGCTACACATGCCACTCTCTACACAGCACTGCAACTCCCAAAAACCAAGTAATAGGCTGAATTATTATCATTACTATTATTTCCAAGTGGTTATTGCTGGATGCCACAGACCTCTACCTCTGGCTGCAGGTCCTGAAGACTGGGTTCATCCTCCAGCACAGACCAATGAGCCCCAGAAGCTGAAGATCCAGGAAAAGCGCAGAAACCATCATCCCTGCTTTTGAGGACACATGGCTCTTGGTGACGTATTAAGTGGACATGTAGTAGCCTGACCTTAAGTGTCTTTATGTACTGGGTGCTGCTTTACAGAAGTAGCAGGTTGGCCTTTTTTTTTTTTTTTTGGTCAGCTGTGGGGCTTGAGCTCAGGCCCAAGGCACTGTCCCTGAGCTTTTTCACTCAAAGTTAGCATTCTACCACTTTGAGCCACATCACTTTTTTTTTGGTGGTTAATTGGAAATAAAAATCTCAGGCTTTCCTGCCCCAGCTGGCTTCAAACCACAATCCTTAGATCTCAGCCTTCTGAGTAGCTAGGTTTACAGGTGTGAGCCACTGGCACCCAGGGCAGGTTGGCCTTTGAATGTGAATTCTCTCTCTCTCTGTGTACTGGGGCTTGAACTCAGCTGTTCTTGCTTGATTGTTTTTGTTTACTCAAGGCTGGCTTTTCTACCAAGCACAGCTCTACTTCCAACTCTTTGCTAATTAATTGTAGTTAAGTCTCACAGAGAAGTCTGGTTGAGACCAACTTGAAGATTCAAAATGGAGTGAACTCACCCTTCTTCAGAGATGGCTTTACCCATCCAGCCCGTGAGACCCCCAGCCACCACCCCTGCCTTCCTCTCGGCCACCAACAGATGAACAGCAAGCGACCCCCCCCTCCAACCCCGTCAAAAAAGGAGGAAAAAGAAGGGAGACACAGGAACAGTTCTTTATTGTACATCAGAGAAATAGCCCTGTGTGCTGCTTCAAGGTGCAACATACAGAATATTGAATTAAGAAAAGAGGGAACAGGGAAAGGAAACCTCTTGAGGTCCAAAGTTGCAAACAAAAGAAAAAAGGATGGGTGAAAGATTCCTCACGCAAGAGGCATTTTTTTGCAAATACCATGCAAAACAGGCAGCTGGTGTGCCTTCAGAGAAACCCTACAAATAACAAAAGACTCCAAGCATTCCTGTACGGGGACTCAGAGCACAGGGGGAAAAAAGAAACCAAAATGCCTTTTGGCATTTCAAGATATTTGGCACTCTTGTGATTACATTTTTTTTACAGTCCAGTAAAGAGAATAAACTGACATAATATTGGGGGGTGGGAATCCAGGCAGCTCATACAACAGACTGGAGGGGGAGGTTAGAAAAAAAGCTCAAGCATTTTTTTTCATGTGTTTTGTTGTTATTCCTGACATAGAAAATGTGTCCATTTGCATTAACTTGGGCAAATAGCTTGCAGCAACAAAGAAACACAAGCTTTACAATTCATTTTAAAATAAAACAAAGATCCTTTCCGTGTATCATTCCATAAAAGAAAAAAAAAGGTATCTTCTTGTTTTAAACACATTCTTGATAACTTCAAAAGATGACCAAAATAAAACGGTATCTACAGAGCTCATTTTCCAATTTGTTTTTTTTTATACACCCAAGGATAACATAAAAAAGATAATAAAACTGGACGGCACTTCACATCCAAGTGCACAGAATCATTTTTGCAAGATTAAACAATGTAAACATTAGAAACAGCCGAATCAGCAAAGAAATGCGAACACCTCCAGACCCAGAGCTGCCCCTTCAGAGAGTGGTTCAAAAATCCAGATCTAGAGTTGAGCAATATTCACCATATATAAAAAAGAAATAGATATCAATTTTGACAAATAGCTGCAACTGAGACTTTTAAATTTTCTTTATATGTGTATATAGTGATTTTTTAAAATTTTTATGGTTTTTTTATTTTTTGTTTTTGCAGAGGAGCCCAGAAGCTTCCCCTCCTCCTCCTCCTCCTTTCTCTTCCTCCTCCTCCTCCTGCCTCATCTGTCTCCCGGCCCGACTTGAGATACAGGTTGTTGATTTCATGGTGGGTACCAAGCTAATAATAAATTTCAAAGTGCTTTCTCTTTTTCATGCTTTTTTTTTTTCTTTCTCTCAGTAACCATTATTGCCCGCCTCATTGCCCGCCGCTGTTCTTAATCCTTTCCCTTAGCTCAATGTCTCTGAAGGAGTTAGACTCCCGGAGGTGCCTTGTCGGTCATATTTTTCAGCACGTCATCAATCCTATCATCTTCAATAACAACTGTAAAAAAAAAGCAAACAAACAAAAAACACAACAAAGAAGGAAAGAGAGAGGTGAGCGAGTGCGGGCCTAGGCCAGGGGTCTGAAGACAGTTCCTATTCCGCCCGCCGTGCGCGCAGCGCCGCTGAGGACGGCCGAGCGGGGCTCGCCCCCCAGCGAGGCCCGGCCACACCCCTCCGCGGCCCGGCCTGGGGTCCCCCGGCCGCCGGGCTCGGGACCGCCCCACCCCCAGCCTGCGTCCCAGCTGGACTCGGAGAAAGGAAACCGGGGAGAGGCTGGGCGCAAACCCGCAGCCGCGCAGCGCCCCGAGCGCACTGGCCGCGCATCCTCCCACCACCCGGAGTATTTTACTTAGAAAGCCATCTTGGAGACTGAGAAAGGAGAGCAGAGCCCGCCGTGGGCCCGGCCCGGTCAACGGGATCCCTCGGGGATGTCCCGAGCGCGAGCACGGGTGGCTAAGGTTGGGTGCAGAGGAGCGGGGAGCCTGGAAGCCACACCGGGACGGGTTCCCGGCACGAGCCAAGCGGCCCGGGGCGGGGGAGGCTGGTCGGCTTCGGGTGGGCGCCCCGACCCGCTCGCCCTCCCCGCACCCCGGAGGACGGCCTCCGCCCCTCCGATCTCCGCGGGCCACTCACCGTCGAGGGCTGAGCCTCCCCCCTTCGCAGCCTCCCCAGGGCTCGGCCCCGGGCCGGCTCTTCCGCCTCTCTCCGTCTCTACCTGACCTCGCTGTTCCCGCCGCACCCCCACTCCTCCACCAGCCCCTCGGCTCGCGATCGCCCATCCGGGAGATCTCCAGGGTCTCTGTTTCTGGGGTGTCTCGTACCCACAACGAGAGGGCTGTTTCCCCCCAAACTTGTGTCCCGTCCCTGGCTTGCAAGTTCCCTCCCGGGAGCTTCCTCGCGGGCTCCGGGCGGACCTCTGTCCCCGCCCAGCGTCCTCCCCTACGCCCCGGGGTCCCGGGGTCTTCCCCGCCGGCTCGCGCGCGCAGCGCCCCGGCGTGGCCAACCCCCTCCCCCGGCCCAGCACAGTGCGAAGCGACTCGCGCCCCCCCCCCGCTGTCCCCGGAGGGGTGGGGGCCTCCCCCGCGGCCCGTTCCCGGGGGACCCTGCGCCCCCTCCCCCTAGGGCTGCACCGGACCTCGGCGGCGACCTCACTGCGCAAGGCGGGGGCAGGGGAGGCGGAATCAAAAGACAAACTTTGGCGCGGCGGGGGCGCGGGTCGGACCCTTCGGCCCCGGCTGCAGCGAGAAGCCGCCACGCCCCCGGGGGTGACCCCACTGGGGATCCGGCGGAGGCCGCGAGCCTGACCCGCAGCATGGGACCCCCAATTCTGCGGGAGGGGATCCCGGGTCGCACGGTGGAGACCCCCCCCTCCCCCGGCGCCCCGCCAGGCCGCAGCGCCGCGGAGGAAGGAAGGGGGCCGGGAACTCACCCCGCTTGCTCCGGCCGATCTGGCCCAGCTTGGGCGGCCGCTTGTTCTGCCCGGCGCCGAAGAAGTTGTTGGTGTCCTGCAGGCGGCACGAGAAGATCTGGCCCACGTCGCCGCCGTCGCCGTAGGGGCTCAGCTTCTCGTCGCCGTAGGGCAGCACCTCCGACATGGTCGCGTCCAGGGGCTCGGCGGCGGCACCTCCTCCGCCCGCGTCCCCGCCCGCGGCGGACAGGGTCAGCGGCGCTGG